TCACTTTCCAGTCTTGTCAATGTGTCATTAAATTGTCTTTCAGCCACTTGTGCCACAATTTCTCCAACCTGATCAATGTGTTTCTGAAGCTGGGTAGTCTGAGCTGTAACCTCCCGTACCTGCCTGAGCGCCTCTTGGGAGTATTTTTGATCCAGACTCTCCTCTCCTGTGCTAGTCACGGTACATTTGATTGGCTCTTCAAATGTAATCAATGGAGCCATTGTTGCAGAATCTTTACTTTTCACTAATTCTGTTAAATCTGGATACAATGGAGCATACGGTGGAGGGGAAGAATCAGGAGCTGTACTTTGCAATTTGGCAGCAGTCATCCATTTCTCATTTAGTTTGATCATCATTGAAATCAGAGTAACCTCATCTGTCAACTTTTGAATTTTCTTATTTTCTAACGGCTTCTCTCTTTGCATTTGAGAACGTTTCTCCAAAACTAATTCTCTTAGTTGTTTCATTAACCCTTCACTTGGAGGTGAATTTGACTTAGCTAAAATACCATCTTTCTTTTTTGATTTTAACCATGTTCTAACGCTCCTTGTTGTTGTATTTTTAATCTCTGTTGTCCCCTCTAAATACTGTATAATCCCCTTTATCCACTCATCTAATGTTACAGATGCCATGTTTTCTACCGTCTAGATTACAAGCCTTGTGTTATCAATATCAATGTAAAGAATCAGCAATTGGGTGCGTAATCTTAGAGCGTCAGATCGTGGTATCTCCCCGTTCGACCACAAAATGTGGTGGGGAAATGTACGCACGAATCGTGACCCCGTCCTACGCGACCCAAATTACTGCGTTCACTGTGACCGTTTGTGCAATGGTCACTTCCACAGAAAACATCAATCACTCATTCACACCAAGAGAAAAATTAAAAAGTGAGAAAAGTTAGACACTGTCCCTGTCCTTTCCCTTATTTGTCAATTAATTAAAACACACAGTTTTCTCCTTCAACCATTAAATCACTGAGATAGCACACAGTTCACTCCTTTTAACTCATAAATCACTTAGATCCTCACACAGTCCTTTTAGGTTGACTATCAATCACTGAGATAACACACAGTTTTTCTCCTTTTCTTAAGTCACTTAGACTTGAAAACTATTATCCCAATAAATATAACATACTTGCAAGCAAATCCTTCAATATTTACCCTACTTTTGTTTGTTTTTTTTTTATTTTTAGGTCTCAGGTCAGGTGAAAGGAAAGATTAATTAGTTGGTAACAACTCTTACCGTTTTACTTTGGCGCCAAATTAATCTTTTCTTTGACCGGGCCTTGTGTCTCCTGTCGAATCCTGTTCGAGCGACGCCAAGTTCTGCAGTAATTTGTCAGAATTCCCCTGCCCCAGAAGCTGCAGAGAGGCCGCAAACACAGCCCTTCGTTCTGCAGGTCCTTTTAGTTCAACAAGAGACAAAAACCAATGTTAAAACAGTAATAGAAATGACAGATACCAAACCTGATTTCAAAAGGTTATATTGAAGATTTTGCAAGCAATATTACAAGATAACGGTCTGCGAACACAAGTCTCGCTTCGCGTTCAGATAAGGAGTGGCCCCGGGGACGTCTTTCACCCTCCTGGTCAGAAGAAAAAGAAAAAGTCCCCCGTGACCACTTCTGCACATACATTTATACTTTACATCCAAGGTCACTTGACATCACAACTGTATGGACCCTATGACTCCTTCTGGCCCGCTGCCAACGTTTGCACCTGCTCTGATAACCACTTGTCTCCCTCTTGTCCCCCTCCCATTCTCACACAGACTAACCTTGAACTCACTGCTCTTTGAGATTTACACAAACAAGTGCTAATTTGGCAACAGAAACAATACTAAACTGATTTTAATTTTAACTGGTCCAGGAGTTCAATATTCCAACAGGCTTCAGAGCTCATCACAGTACAGAAACCGCATTAGTTAATGTCACCAATGATCTTTTACTAGCCGCCGATAACACATTGGTGTCAGTGCTGGTTCTGCTAGACCTCAGCGCCGCATTTGACACGATAGACCATAAGATACTACTACAGAGGCTAGAGCGTAGGTGTCAGAGGAACAGCACTTCACTGGTTCGAATCCTATTTATCAGATCAGTTCCAGTTTGTGAGTGTGAATCAAAAATCCTCACTCTGTTCTAAAGTGGCCTTCGGTGTGCCTCAAGGATGAGTACTAGGTCCGGTTTTGTTTACACTTTATATGCTACCTTTAGGAAATATCAGAAACCATGACATTAACTTTCACTGTTACGCAGACGACACGTAGCTTTATTTATCGTGAGACCAAACCAAACAAATACGATAGATAGACTCAGTGCCTGCATTAAAGACATAAAGACCTGGATGACCTTGAATTACCTGCTTCTCAACCCTGAAAAAACAGAGGTACTTGTCCTAGGCCCAAAAAGCATGTGTGACGCTCTCCGCGACCAGATCACTATGCTCGACAACGTCAGTATTTCCCCCAGTGACACGGTAAGAAATGTAGGGGTCATATTTGACCAAGAGCTTTCCTTTCGAGCACATGTAAATCAAGCTCGAAGTGATGCTGAAAAGCTTATCCATGCGTTTGTTACGTCAAGACTTGACTACTGCAACGCTCCCCTAGCAGCGTGTCCCAAATCCACCATACACGGCTTCCAGCTAGTCCAAAATGCAGCCGCAAGGGTCCTAACAGCCACTAAAAGGAGGGAACATATAACCCCAGTGTTGAAAGCGCTCCACTGGCTTCCTGTGGAGTTTAGAATCAAATTTAAAATTCTTCTCCTGACCTACAAGACGACAAATGGTATGGCCCCCATCTACCTCCAGAATGTACTGGAACCATACCAACCAAAACCGCGTACTCCGCTCTCAGGATGCCAGACGCCTGGTAGTCCCTAGAGTGTCCAAAAGCACAGTAGGAGGCAGAGCATTTAGCTACCAAGCTCCTGTCTTGTGGAATCAGCTTCCGACAGAATATCTATCAAAGAGGCAAAGAGTCCCTTTATTCAAGACCAGGCTTAAAACATTCCTCTTAGCGTATGGTTAGCTCAGATTGGTAACACTTAGGGCTATTTATCCTGCTCCCCTGTGGGCTAGATTTGTATTTTTATTTTAAAAAAATCTATTCAACGGTTCTCAATTCACCATGCGTCCTTTATTCAAATGTTAAAATCCCTGTACATACAACTGTTTTTAACGCACTGTTTTTAATGGCCATACATACACGACTGTTTTTAATGCACCATACATACACAACTGTTTTTAATGCCACCTACAACAGCCAAAATAATACTCCTATGGGAGTTTTCGGAGGTCAATTTTGTCGTAGAGCCATGAAATTCGGTACACATGTTCAAGTCAGGACAAGAAAAAAATATTATGGCCCCACCCTCTGACAAACAGGAAGCCCATAAATTTCACTACAAAATGGAAAAATTAACAGCAATAGTTTTCATACATGTCGGTTGGAAAGCGACCCTGAAAAATGTTCTTTTAAACCTTACATCCACCTCTGCTGCTGTGACCTGAAGGGCTGTTGCTGATTATTACTGTTATTATTGTTAGCTTTTTGAATAATCAATTTTATTTTTATTTTTGCTGCTACTGGACACCTGAATTTCTCCGACGGGGATCCATAAAGTATCTATCTATCCATCTAAATATCAGGGCATTATGGCAATTGAATTTCAGCCTTAGTTATAGAAGTTATTACATAATATTTAAAATGGTCACATGTAAATAGCGCTTTTCTACCTTGTACTGGCACTCAAAGCACTTCACACCAAGGGGGGTTTAGTGTCTTGCTCAAAGACACACACACATCAATACGAGCCGGTTTTACATCTGAGAATCTGTCTGAACTTCAAACATATCTGTTCAGACTGGCCTATTTACTATGATCTTACATTTTTAACAAAATGCTTTTAACTTGTTTTACTTTAGTCGTAACTTTTGTAAGGCGACCTTGAGTGCTTAGAAAGGTGCCCTAAAAATAAAATGTAAAATAAAATCAAAATGTAAATAATAAAATGAATTATTGTTGTCTCTACCATCTATAGACCTGCTTGGACTGACTGTATGTTTTTTTTTTATTACCAATTCTTTTTTTCTATTAACCAATTTTATCTTGAGTCAGATAAAATTGGTCATAAATAAATTAATGTAAAAAAAATAAAAAATCTCCAATTTTCTTTACGTCGCGAGCTGGATTCGAACCACCAATCTTCAGAACACACTGTAAATACTAGTTTGACTTTGACCCAGAAAGCCGCAAACAGTCTAGACTCTTTTTATAGCTGCAGCTCCCCCGCCGTCCACCAGGCGTCACTCCACTGGCTCGAGGACACCGGAAGTGGCGCATGTACACTTTGTAACGACGCTGCTGCAGACTGTTGAAGACATTTTAAAATTACACACAGCTAAATCTGCACTAAATGAACGAGACGTCTCCACTGCGCGGCTCCGTATCTGCCCCTCCACATCCCGGGGGTAAATGTGCGGTGTAGTCTGACTGCTCGTAAACCGTGTTGCAAGAGTGTGGAAGCAGACGAGGACTTACGTAAGATGTCGAGCGCCCAGGACTGAGGAACAAACCACCGCGGTGAGTGTCCTGCTGTCTCCGGTACTAGTGAGCTCTGACCTGGCGCCAAGATCCACCAGGACTGGGATGTTTCAGTCATGTATAACTGTGATAGAAACCAGTCTTCTGCGCCGACAAAGTCCATTTATGGCAAAGTAGAAACTTGGTGTCTGGGTTGGTGCACAAACACGCTGATAAAACATCTATATTATAATGTAGCGTGGATACATGCTAAATATGTTTGTTTTTAGTATGTAATTTCCCAGTAGATTAATTTTAGGCTTTCCTAAAAAAGTGCTCATATATAATGGCATGCGAATTCATTGTACGTAAGTGGTATTCATTTTTGCTCTTGATGTTTTTGCACCAGGTTAGTCCAGACACAACGGTCCACATAGTTTGGACCTTGGGCTCTGGGCTTGAGTTTTTTGAAGATGGCGGATCCAGAACATACAGGAGAATTGATTAGTACAGAGTGTCCAGCTGATAGCCTTAATGAAGCAGAAGCAGTCACAACATCAGCTCAGGAAGAGCAGGAGGACCAACAGAAGAGCGAGACCTCCACCAGCCCCACGTCGACTCACAAGGATAAGGACGGAGACAGCCTTTTGCACACGGAGAGTGAACCGAGCCTGCTGTCGATGCCGTGCCTGATGAAGGAGCTTCGTAGAAGAGACTCTGCAGGGTCTCATCAGGCCTCTTCCAGCGGAGACAACAAAGCTGCATCCAACCGCGTTTATGAGAGTGACTCCTCCAACCCCTGTATGCTGTCCCCCTCCTCTAGTGGTCACCTCGCTGACTCTGACACACTCTCCTCAGGAGAAGAAGCCGCCCCTCAGGTATGTGACGGTGAAGACAAGATGGAATCTATACCTGGTTCAGAACAGACTATCAACCAGCCATCTTCCTCTAAAACTGGAGGAAGAAAATCCCGCCGCTCTCACTCAGAGAGTGACATGCCTTCAAATGCAATGGCTGCAAAGAAAAATCGATGTCACACTACTGGAGAAGCAGCCACAGGACAAGAGAAGCAAACTAATGGCAAGCTGGGAAAAGTTAAAGGTCACCGGAGCCAGAAACACAAGGAGAGAATGCGTTTGCTAAGGCAAAAGCGAGAGGCAGCAGCAAGAAAGAAATACAACCTGCTGCAGGACAGCAGCACGAGTGACAGTGAAGTCACCTGTGAATCCAGCACCAGCTCCTCTGACGACGACACCTCTGGAGGCAGCAAGACAATCAGGACAGAACTTGCAGGTAACATTCAGCTACACTAGACACACATGATCCATTTAAATCATTTATTTTTGTTACAATCTAATACATTACAATATGTTATACATTTTTGTGGGGGGATTACTGTCAGCAAAGCAATGCTAAGCAATAATTAAACATCTTCAACCAGTTTAAAGTATTTCAATGTAATTCTATTGTTATAATATGCACCCATACATACCATGTGACCTAACCCACATGCCTTATACGCCGTTTTCTGTGCATTTAGTCTTTTTAGTATTCATTATCTTTGTCATTCTCACGCTCATCTTTGTTTTTGTGTCTTTTCAGTTTACTCCTTATGTAGGAGAAGCTTTACATAGTGATCTTCAATGTTTATTTTGTTTTCATTTGGTTCATTTGCATAAGATCGGATATAAAACTAGAGGGCTTTGCAGTACTGCATACGCTGCTGCGCTGACGGCTGAAGCGATTCTGTAACATTGTCCCAAGACGGGCTTTTCACACGTTGCCACAGTAGTTAGAGCTGCACGAATCATCAATATCTCAAACTTTTTGGATTGCAGTTCTTATTAGAGTTACTTCTATTTTTTAATTTCTTTGTTAGTTGATAATCAATGTTGCCAAACCACTCCTGGAACGTCAACAGTTTTGACGGCGAAATGGGCAAAAGACAAAATGTTTAGCTATTTTAGTCATTTTTGTTGTGGACCTTTTTAGTTCAAGCTTGTATAAGAAGAGACCTTTTCTCTTTCTATAAACCCTTCTGACATTCTGTGCAGACCTTGCAATTTGCTAATTGCAACTTGTCAAATTTCAATTTGAACTATGATTAATCTTGCAGCTCTAACCGTGATGTGTGTTATAGATTTTCAGTCACTTGTAATTCATAGACGAGGGTTAATGCTTTTAAAGGGTAAAGCCTTCACCACAAGTTGACCTACTTTTTGATTTTGGGAATCAAACGGGTGAGTTGACTTTATTAGTACAACAAGCCGACATTTTATTATCCACGGTGACATCAATACTGTCTGGAGTTTGAGTCTCTCCTGATTCAACGCTCTGTCAAAAGTAGACGCCCAGATAGAAGTTTACATATATTACAAACGCCGTCGTTATTTTCAGACGCATCCAATTATTTTACAACCATTCCCACATCCCGCACACACATTCCGAGTGCCACAAGCTGCATGTTGTGTTCCATCAGCATGGAAGGTCAACCTGCACGTAAAACCAAACAGCAGATTCATGTCTCTGTACTAGAAGAACCCACTTCCATAGTATGAAAGTCTTACTGCTTGGCCTCAATGTCTTTAAAGCTGGCTTCAGACGCGCGACGGAGAGATCCAGAGTTGGGGCTCAGGTTCATGGACTTTTGGACAGCAGCGCGTGGGACAGAAACGGCATTGGGAGCGTTCTGGAAGAGGCCATGACGCGCTTTGCCGTGATGCAGCGGCAGACCGAGGAGCGCTTCCGGGTCTGGATGGAACGGCTCGCCCACCTCGACTCTGACGACTCCTCCAAGCGCTCTAGCGACGGGCAACAGAACCCCGACGCGCGCCCCTCCCCGCCCAGTTCGTTCCTGCCTTCGTCCGAGTCCGCCGAGACCATGGCGGCGTACGCGTTAGCCCGAGAAAGCAACAGCCTCACCCCCGCCACCACCATCAACAACAACAACATACTGCATGACGTAGTGACTCCCAATGGAAATCTCAGCGTTTCAGACCCTGGACTCTTGAATGTTTAATCTACTTGTCTCTCCACTGTGCTCGGAAAAACACCCCCACAAGCAGAAGATTCAGTTTTGGGGAGAGGAAGCAAAATACATGCATGCAGACGACAGCTGGACCAGTGATGGCCGATTTTCTTGCATTTTCTGGGCCGTGGGCAGGCTCTGAATCACTGTGATGAGATGAGGTGTTGTACATGACGAATTCAACTCACCCTTTTGACTTTGTCAGTGATTTTATTTTTTTGAAAGGGAGGTTTGTTTTGTATTTCTAATCAATGCCTGTCATAATCTGTGTCTTCTCAACGAACACGCATACATTTTGGCCCCTTTCGAAATATGTTTTGGGCTGCGAACCTGCGACGTTATTTGGGTGACAAAGCTTTACTGATACAAAAGTCTACCTATGGATACTGTTAGCCTTAGCTGAGAGTATTTCTTATGTGTAATGTTTACTACATGATTGCATTCGAGTTGACCGTAGCTACATCTTTATTGTAAATGTCTTTTCTCTCCCATGTAGGAAATTATTTCATAGTTAGCCATTTTATACACTTAAGTTATATTAATATTCAGGGCATGCCTTTTTAAGATGTTGAAATACTTTGGTTTGGTTCTATGCTTGACAGCCAGTCCTTGTACATAATTTTAAATGTTCACACACACCACACTCGCAGCCATTTGACATTTCAGCGACGGAACATTCTCTGCGTTTATGACTGGCCAAAGAAGTGTCCTTTTTTTTCTCTCATTTGAATCTTGTCAATGTTTTCTTTCCGCTCTTCCGCTTGTCCTCACTCCACTGCAGTAGTGACAATAAGAGCGCGCTGGCTTCGGTTCTCCAGGGACAGTGTGACTTTACTGGTTTGTATGTGGAAAAAGATGTGTGCAAGAATAATAAAGGTCTGCATGTGTCCTGGACGGGGTGGATTTGATCGTGCAGAACAGGTGTCTTGTATTTCAGCGTCTTGTCTGGTTCTGTGCTGCTGTTCATCAGTATTTTAGATTTTCAAAAATGGCTGAGAGTACCCAAAGCTTCCACCAACAGCATAGAGAGTGTTGGGATATATTTACAAAGTCCGGTCTATTGTAGTGGTTGCTATAGCGACAAACCACTCACAAACGTTATCTGCTGCCTCCTGTTACTGCCGTATACAGATTCAAAACAAGCTGGTCTCATATTTTATACATGATCAAATATCTAATAAATTGTGGGTATTTGTTTGTATAAAAGAGATTAACAAGAAAACATGAACCATCTTCTACAAGTTTATTCCTTTTTATTACCTGACAATTTGGATCACTGGAGTCTTCCTCAAAGTGGTTTTGTCAACTGCTTTACAGTTTTTGCAGCTGTCGTCTTACCACTAGAGTGTAGATTAAATGGATGGATGATGCTAACCCCGCTAGCTCAATGAAACCCAATAGGGAAGTACTCATGCACAAAGTTTTGTTCCAACTCTCTCTGGCTCTTATTGACTTGCATTAAAAAGTAGCTGTTTAACTAGTAGCTCAGTAACTGTCACTCACCATTTATTAAAAATCCATAGTTCAGTATTTTCTGGGGTTTTAGCGTTTATTCTTTGATATTCTCTTAATATATACAGATGAGCCATATAAGGATTAACCAATCAGATGCCTTCATCCGCGAGGGAAACTCCACATAGCCATCTGCCTATAAATAGCCTACAGCTAGCTTGTGTTCAAATCGGCCTCTTCCGCATTGAGGCTAACACTTGGCGCCGCGTTGGCTGAGTGGTTAGCACTCTCGCTTCTCAGCAAGAAGGTCCTGGGTTCAAATCCCGGTTGGAACAGGGCCTTTCTGAGTGGAGTTTGAATGTTCTCCCCGTGTCTGTGTAGGTTTCCTCCGGGTGCTCTGGTTTCCCCTACCACTAAAAACATGCACAATAGGTCTGGCATGTGCCTCCTGTACTGGCCCCGCTCCATCTCTGTGGAGTGAGAGATGAATGCCCACGAATGTAAACCGCTTTGTCACTCTGGTCTGTGAAAGGCACTATATAAATAAAGATGACTTACTATGGTGACATCAACACTTGGTCCAGTCTATGCACCAGAGGCAGCACGACAGCGCCACCTGCAGTATTATTCTTCAGGACATAATCCCAAGTGTGTGAGAGTAACACAGCCCCCTCATCCCGGTTCTGGGGCAGGTTTCTGTACTTTAATTGCCTCTTTTGATCCAACATCTGTGTTGTCACACCTGGGCTTGCTTACTCACCTGGAATTCTGTCCTGAAGGATCAGACTGCAGGTGGCGCTGTTTTTCAGCCTCTGGTGGTAGGAAGACACCGCCAACATTAACTTCAAAACAGCTAATAAAGCATGACACAGGAAGATCACGTGACCACTCTGAGGAAGACCGCGTGACAGGGGTCCAAACATTAAAAATAATCAACTTGTAGAATCTATCAGAAGACAAAATGAACCTCCTGGGACTATGAGCTGTCTTAGATTGTTTTATTCCGATCTATAAATGTCACAAAAATGCTACATATTTACTTTTTTGCACTTTAATATTGGCATGTGATGCGGTTTCTTAGGCTCCAATCCTGTAATATGTCATAAGTGCATTAAAAGTAAATATATATCGAGAAATCTCACAAATACTGAGAAAAGTACTAATATAAAAACCATCTCCAACAACCCAAACCTGAAAGTGTCTACTAGAATGGTAATGGTGGTGGTTGGTTTCACAGTGATCGATGGTGATGGAGACCGTGTTCACTATGGAGTTACTTCCAGGCATAACTTGAATAATTAAGTGTTTGTGTTTGTTCTCTGCAGACGGGCCACCAGTAGTTGGTCACTATGATATTTCAGGCACTGATTCTAACCAGGAGAGTATGTGTGTGGAGTCTGCCCGGCCCAGCGTGATAAGGCAAGAGCTAAAAACACACAGAGGCCAAGTTATGGCAGTGCACTCTGGGTGCATAAGAGCGCTGTGCTCAAACTCAGGTCAGTTACTAATCCGGTATCCGCAACATTTTCACTTTTGAGGAAAAAAAACGGATTGAAAAAATAACTGCTAACTAGGGGGCATAGCTCTATCATATATCTTATTGTCGCCATGGCCCGGAAAGCTTCTTGCATCTCCGGCGCCGCTTACAGTTTTTCGGTTCTTTTCTGTTGCAGGCCATCCAGACGCACAACTTTTGCACAAGGAAAGTTCCCAGCACAAGGGCCAGATTAGCATCGCCTCTTCTGACAGTGAGGTGGAAATTGTGGATGTGCAGGAGAAAGCCCGGTAAAAGATGTCGAAATGAACTCAGTTTCCTTGTTTGTTTTTTTCCCGGGGGGGGGTTTCTCACTAATGATTTGTGTTTCAATCCAAACCCAGGGCTGCGCATCCGTACGGAGGGGTGATCAAAAGTTTGTCCTCGTGGAAAGAGAACCAAGTCAATCAGATAAACAGCACAAATCAGCCACAGCTTTGGACTTCCTCGCAGCCAAACTGGGTCTCTCCTCCGGAAGTAGTAGACCTCACCCTAGACGAGGAGAACGGACACAAGTACCTGCTTTAAACCTGCGTCGGGACATTTGTTTTACTTTCAACGCCCTTAGTCTTCTCCTCGCCTCCCTGTTACAGTTGGGAAATCTTGCACAACTTGTCTGCTCCTGTGCATCGTCGAACTACTAGCATGTAACAAAGCCATTATTCTGATAGTTTTGGGTATTGAGCTGCTATAAAACCACACCATAGCCCAGCCTAGAGTATAATAAAAAGGCAATATTGTGAAAAAAAAAAAGTGGGAATATATATTTTTGTGTTATTTAAGTTGAGATGGTGGCAGCTTGTTCACTTTGTAATGAAGATATGGCTTTCTTCTCTCACTCTACACACACAATATAGTCTAACCACTGGATTTGTTTTAGTAAGAATAATATACAAGTGACAGATTCCCTGAAAGTCATTTGAAGTTGAGGTAAACAACCCAGACTTAATGCCGTCCAATTGAGTCAGAAACTTTGAGGAGTCCAAATGAAGAGGTGAGCTTTGCAGACCAGAGAGATTTTTAGTACATTCTCAAACCCTTTCAATGGCAAAGGTGGTGTCAGTAACTATTGGGTTAACAATGTGAAAAGTGAGACCAGGACAGGCCTTTTATCCACAGATGCAGATGGATCAATAGCTTCCAGTCACCAAAAAAACCAATTCAATAGTTACACTGCAAAAAATGATATATATGAGGTGATAATTGCTTGAATGGAGTGGTTTTTATCTGAATTTGAGCACATTCTGTTAACACAATATTTGTAAATGGGACAAAGCCATTAAGTTTTATTTCAAGAACTGTTGCTTTATTTTCTCAAGATAAAAGGCAGTCAAAGTGTACTCAAACTAAGATAAATTCAGCAAAGTTTCGAGCAACTTTTGACTCATTTTTGCAGTGGACTCTTCCACTATCGGTTAATCACATTTCTTACTCATATTTTGCAGCTGAACTGTTTTTAGCATCTTTCATGTTCAGTTAAAATCCAAGTGAATCCAAACAGAATCCTAAAAGTAAAAGTCCCAGTCCCTTTATCGTTGAGAAATCTCACTTTTTCTGCAGTGGCTCCATGATCCTAAAAACTCGGTCTAGTTGCACTTGTCAATGGATGCAAGCCCCTCGACTCTCTCAGCCCCCTTAATAATAATAATAATACAAAATATCTTCTCTAACTCTACAGAGATGGACCCGAATGCCTTGACAATGTGCACTTTTTACTTTTTGTACAAGTACTTAGAACAAACTTGGTATTTTTTCAACATTGTTATTTCCAAAAATGTGTATTGACGGATAAAAGCAACACAGGGATTTTGGTAAAACTATTTTATCAATACTCAAGGGACATGTTTTCTCTTTTTGTTTCCAGACGGAGTATAGTCACTTAACATATTTAACCTATTAATAAATCATGCTTGGATTATGTGGAACTAATGTCTCAGAAAGATAGTATATTTAATTTTTAACCAGGACAGTCCCTCTGACATGCGTTTAGTGTTGTGTGGGGATTTCTGGCCAAAGAAGGGACACAGAGAAATATCGCTCATGGGAGTTTTGCTCGGTCCATATCTCAGTTACAGTTAACGCCACTCATCGGAGAAACTAATACGTTTTAATATATTTTCATGGAATTGTGTGGACAGCTGATGTAGACCATTGTATCATTTCTCCCTCTTTTGTTGTTTTCCTGAAACTCACAGGAATCACACTTCATACCACGTGTTTAGTTTGTCTTCACTATTTTAATTTTCAGTATTTTAACCGAACCACAATATGAGTTTTCATCCATACATCTGAAAAAAGTTGTGGTATAAACATGTTTTTCAAAAAAATAAATGGTATTTATATATAGTGTGTAGTAACGTTCTTTTCATGGTGTAATTATTTTCATATGGGTGGTTTTTAATTCAGATTCACCACATTTTCTTCAAGTCGATTCAGTCTAGACGAACAGCATTGGATTTATGGCTTAGGCTGAGGTGGCATGTGGGGTCAGGGGCCACACCGCGACACCTGCTGCCAAAGGGACATATGGAGGCCTTGTGAATGGGGCCATAGAGACGTAGTCTGTAGGGGCCCTTTCCCTCAAACCAGAGTCCCCTCTTCTTTTCACCCTGGAGCAGGCTGTGTCAGCTGTATGGTAATTTTTACAGGGCAGTGAATGTGCTGTCTCAGCGACGAAGACGAGCTCTCAGCCCACGGCCAGCCATCGGAAAGAAAAGCCCCGGAAGGAACAGATATGGAATATGAATAATTATATCATGATATTGATGAATAAAAGACTATAGAGGTGGTAGCAATGACATCACACAACAGTGACATATGCATTTACCCCTGTACCTGTTCCCTGGGGCTCTACGGGGGTGGGAGCATATGGCATATGGACTTTGTAACTCCTATATCCTCTCAAATCCATCTGCTTCCCCAAAGTTAAAGCTGGGGTACGTAAGTTTCAAGAAAAAAGAGGGTATATGTAGTATAGAATCCAGTTAACTAGTACCTAGCTCCCAAAACAGTTCAAGCACTAGTTTACAGACAGAAAAGTGTAAAAGAAAGAATCTATCAGCCCAAAGTGTCAAATAGTGACTTTTTTTTTTAAACAAGTATGTCAAATATATAACGGGTTTTCTTCAGATAAGGGAATGCTGTGGTTTGACATAACCTTTACATGACTTTCTATGTGAACAGACACGGTTTAATATGTAGGAAATTCGGTACCCGAGCTTTAATGTAACCTAATGACAAACCTTATGCAAACAAAGGTGAAACAAAGTAGCCTTCTTTGTCATTTTTTAACAAATGAATTATAAAAACAAGTTGGAAAGTGTAATTATTTTATGTATATATTTTTTTCATTTCAACAGTACGTGTGATAGGCACTTCTCATTGAATGCAATAAGTTCATATATGTCAAATACTAACCCCAGAATGACCGAGTCTGGGCTGGATCCACGTTCTGAGTGACATTACAACAGATCCACGGTTGAGTGCAGCCAGAGCCCGCCTCTGCAGCGATCTCATTGGTCACACAGACCCCGGCGTGGCTCCTGATTGGCTCTGCGTGACCTGGACCTTACACGAGCGACCGCTGTGATTGGCTGTGAGCTTTCTTTTGCGGCTGCCGTCTGGGTCGATGCTGCCATGGAGTGAAGCGGATCATTTCCATGGACTATCTGCTCAGCCTTTACAACAAAGAGAAGGACCCAGGATGGTGTTGGTGCACGTAGGATACCTGGTTCTCCCCGTGTTTGGATCGGTCCGAAACAGAGGTACGCATGTGTATATTTATATATTTATGTATTTATTTAACCCTGGAGCGATCCCTTATTTACCCGTATCTCTAGTCGCACACCTGCACATATCCCTACCACACTATTCCCACCATTTAACCTCAATACTAACAAACGCACAGCCAAAAATACTCTTTTCTTTCCTGATGTCTTTTAGCATGTCAAATCTCGTTGCCACTGCTACAATTATTAAAAGCCAGCCCTGGATAATCTCTTGTATGTCTCTTGTGTGTCATAGAAGCTTAATAACATGGTAGATGGTAGAGGTTGGGGACCATTGACTGTTCCAACTTAACGCCAGTGGCAAGAGATACTAAAATTATTAACCTATTTTTGAAAGCAGTGTTTTAATTGGTTTAATTTTTGAGGGTAGTTTGTCCAAAAAAAACACACACACACACACACACAGTACATCAATGTCAAAACACTCTCATTTCCATCCATTGGTATTGATTGCGTTATAGTAGGTGGCATTGCTTATACATACATACATACAGTAGCACCGATTATTTCATTGTGCTTTTATTTGTGTTTCTCTTCCTGTTCCATAGTATCGGGGCTGGCTCTACATTCTACATTCTCAGACCTTTGTCCCCCTCCATTGTGTAGCTAAAGATCATCTGCTGCTGTCTGCCGTAGCCTCTGCCTGTCTCTGCATCTAGCTGTATTGTGAATCCCTTCTTCCTCATTTCCTCCTTCCATTTGGAGACGACATTTTTTGGCATTTGTTTGAAAAAAAAACCAACTTGAGATCCCACTCATACCTTCTGTGTATAACCGACTAAAGAATAACACCTTCTCTGTAGAAAACTCTTTTATGCGGTCATGTTGCTCTTTAGTGAATAACCCATTGATCTTAGACCTCTTGTCATTGTGATATACCCATCAATGTGGATAAACTACATTCTGCTGTAAATTTCTGTAAAGTGGATGCCTATCTCAGCCAGAGTCTGCTCCCATCGCCCAATTATTAACTCTATCTCAATTGACTGTCTTCCTCCATTACAATCATACAAATATACGCAATTGGTTTGATCTTTGCAAACATTAAAATCTACAAAAATACCCAAAAAGATCCCACATTTTCTACCGTTCAGTCTCTGACATCTGCTGAACGCTATCCATTTTACAGGGATGTGTATCCTTGCACTGCTGTAGACCTCCTTTATAGATTCAAATGTGTTTTTTTCTTTTGTTGTGGTTTTTCTACCCTATATTCTTGTACTAGAACCTAATGCATGCTCGTTTACTTTGTTTATTTTACACTGAAAAGCAGATTCCAATGTACTCCTGTGTAGAGATGTCCTTGCTGTACCGAAACGTGCTGTAAGCATCCACATCTATCTATACCCATTGGATGCTGCTTCTGTTCTGTTTACACACATATATATATCTACAGAAAGCATGGTCAGGCCTTGCCCCTATGACCGTTTTTTGCATGGTATTCTTATGGTTGTATAGGCTGTACTACTCTCTTTTTACTATTACCACAAACCGTGCCACACATACTAATATTTTCCAATAAAGTGTAGTTTTCTTCCTAACCTTCAGTGTGCTTTTTGCTGACTTCCATGCGTGCTTCCCTCTCCCTCCAGTCTGTGCTGTCACTGACTCCGGACCTCTACATGTGCTTCCATTCCTTTTCTACACTCTCCACAAACTTGTTTTCTATGGGGTGGAACAAACGGCCTTTACATTCGCACACAACACGCGGGTATTCTGTCGGAAACTGTCCATTTGGTGATGATTATCGAGACAAATCCATTATCGATGCGTAGTAAATGCTTTGTGACATTGATGTGGCTCAGGCTAAAACATTTCTAAGCAACAAAACATGGTACAAAAACTTATAATAATAATAATGCATTTGTTTTATATAGAGATTTTCACATGTCATAATTCTTTCACTTTTACTTCAACAAAGATCTTGAGTTTCTCCTCAGACTGATTTCTATTAAACCAAGCCTCAAATGTGTTTTCTTATTCTTAATGTAATAACTTAAGTCTTCTTATAGCTGCCCCACTTGAGTCCTGCAGCTGTCGTCTTGAATAGTTGAGGTTATTTATTTGCAGACTTGAGGCGTCTCACGTTTCTTGAGCTCTGAGATGAGTTGAGTTCAGATGACGTTTGCATTTGGCTTTTACTTTTTATGATACTATTATTGACTCCATTTAACCTCAAAGGACTGTAGTTTCTGGACCCCATCAGGCAAATCACTGCTAGTAGTTTTGTTCCCTTTTTCGAGCCACTCTTGTGTAATCGATTTGGCTGCACACTGCAAAAAGTGGTGAAAAATATGTATTTATTGTGCCTTTTTAAAACAAAATAATTGATCTTGTTTTAAAAAGGTTCAAGAAGTGCCTCCCTCGGAATGAGAAAAAAAAGCAACTGTTTTTGAATTGAGACGAAAATGGCTTTTACCCTCTGGCAAATCAGAATGAACTCAAATTAAGATATCAAAGCACTCAATTAAATCATTTATTACCTAATACACTGCAAAAAGTGATGAGAAATTGGTCAAATGTATTGTAATTTACGTGCATTTTGACTTCCAATGGGACATGCAGAATGATCTTGTTTTGAATGAACTCAAAAAAGAAATCAAGCATTTATTATCTCATACACTGCAAAAAGTGATTAAAAAAATAGGTCAAAAATTTCTCTAAATGTATCAACATTTGAGCACATTTTGACTGCCTTAACAATAGATTTGCCATTAGGACAAAGCAAAATTATCTTGTTTAAAAATATATAAGAAATGTCTCCCTTGGAATGAGAAAATAAAGCAACAGTTTTTTAAATAAGCCTAAATGTCTTTGTCCCATTGGCAAATCTAGTTTTAAGACAGTCAGAATGAACTCAAAATAAGATAAATAATCACACTTTTCAAGCAATTCCGACATAATATTTGATGCCTGTTTGCAGTGCAGTAAAACACACACACACGCACACACACACATGCACACACACGTATGACCCAGTGAAGGCCAGTGGGGTAAGCAAAACAGGTGGATTATGAGTGAATGAGATGTGCTTGTGAAGCTGCTGCAGTCATTGGGGGTAGAGACAGAACTGTCAGAATGCTGCAGTCTGAAGTGGGAGGGGCCTGGTGTCTGTCCCCCCCCCCCTCCATCCCCCCTGCTGTGGGGGAGGGGCTGTCTGCAGCAACAACAACAGCATCCCAATCCAGTCCCTCTATGATACATACATGTCACATCCTTGGTTTAGGCGCCTGATAAATGAAACACAAAACATCCCAAGATCATGAAACACAAACCAATGCAAGAATAAGTACTGTGTTTTGAGTGTATAAGATTAAGATTAAGATTGAGAGAATATTTATTTGTACCATAGTGGGGAAATGTCAGTGTTGTATCACCGGTTACAGAACAGCAGGAATGAAGAACACACAACACAAGCTACATTATAAATAACACAATACTAAAATCAAATCAAATCTGTAACTTTAGCATTAAATAAAGCAAGAATAAATTCTCCAGCTTTAGAATAATGAAGAGGTAAGAATTAAGAACAAAATCTCTGACTTTAGAATAATAAAGAAGTAAGTGTAAAATTATTTTGTATGCAGAACTTATAATACTGTGGTAGCATTCATATCTTGCATAATAATTAGCCACGTTAGCATATGCTAGCTGTGTAAACAAAGGCACCGTGCTGATTCAATGTATATTTGTGACACGTTTAGGGCTGTCACATCTGTTTAACACCAGGACCCCCACAAATATATGATAATTATAACTCCTAGAGCCATCATTTTCCCTGTTCCTTTACAAACTCATGGAATTCTGATAATTTGTCCTAAGAATGTTTTTTGTTTCACCCAATTTATTAAAAGTAAATGATTCATCCTAAGGTTTTTTTTTTTTAATCTTTAATAACGTTCACTCAGTGCTAAAACTGTTGAATATAACTTGAAATACGAAAAAGAGTTTGTTGAAAGGCTAATGCTAACGTTAAAATGCTAACTGCTGACAGTGAACAGTGTGTTGCTATGGTAACTATAACAGAACTACTCACATAAAAAAACGTTCATAAAAATAATGGCCTAAGAAATAAACTACATAGATAAAGAAATCATCACAGCGTTGCACTTTAAAAACTTACAAAATATGGGGTAATAATTGATTGAATTGCGTGGTTTTTATCTTAATTCAAGGACATTTTGACAAAAGCCATTTAAACTCATTTCAATAACTGTTACTTTATTTTCTCATTCCAAGGGAGACATTTCTGATATATTCTTTAAAACAACATCATTTTTCTTGTCTAATTGGAAAGTCTTGTTTTAAGGCAGTCAAAATGTGCTCAAATAAATTCTTCACTGTTTTTCATCACTTTTTGCAGTGTATGATGACCATACAAGGTACATAAACAAAGTAATTACACTTAAAAAAAACGTTGTGTTGATGTGTATTGTCTGAAAACAGTGTGTAATAATATGTCAGTTCATCCTACACTGTAAAAATATTTCTATATGCCAAAAGAACAAGTTCATGTACATTACTTTGAGTAATTGGGTCAAAGAAAACAGAGAGAGGAGAGATCCCGGTGAAGGGTTCATGGAGGACACAGTAATAGTACAATATTCATTCTGTTTTTATGATTCTTTGATAAAACATGTGCAGTTTTGTTTTAGTATTTGAGCCGTGCCACAGAAACACTACTTACTCAGAACCATTTTGAAAAACGCCTTGTTTTGACCTCACAGAAAGGACATTGAATTGATTATTTTCTCACATCTGACAAAATGGCGACAACACGATTGGAAAGAAACACACAAATATAAGGCATTGCAAGAATATTTGTATCGCACACTTTATGCAATTGCCAAAAAATATAAAACATTTGTATCCTTAAATTACAACGACTGTCGTCTCTCAGGACTTTACACATTTGTCGATTCGCCAATAACAGATCAGAGAATCAAACAGTTCGACCACTGGGAATGCAATAATAATGCAATAATGTTATTACATAAACAATCATAAAATCAAAAACACCTAAAACATAAATGAGGTTAACAGAGCTGTCTCTAATGCTGTAGGCTCATAGTTTGAAAACAAAAAACCCGATGGATCTGTCACGACCGGGGTGAAGGTCGTGCATTATGTGCATTAGATCTCAGGTCACATGTTTTTGAAGATCATATACATTTCACAATATTTATTTTACAATAATTGGGTGAGGGTAATTGTGTACATTAAGAATATTAGTGATAAATAATTTCTGACAGAAAGGGGTTGAAGCTGAAGCTAAACTCCTCTTACAATTGTGACAATAGGTAGGTTTCCTCAGAGTACTCCGGTTTCCCCTCCCAATAAAAACCTGTACAATAGGTCTGGTATGCGCCTCCTGTACTGGCGACCCCGCTTTTGTGACTCTGGTCTGTGAAAGGCGGTATAGAAATAAAGATTACTTACTTATGTAATTACTTACAATACGTCCACAGATGACACATTATACAGATTCTCATATACCAGCGATGGTAACATGTATAGCATTAAACTGAAACTTCAATAATCACAGTTATACAGTATAGCATCATCCAATTCATGTGTTCTATACTTATCCATAATGTTTTTTTATGTTTTAGTAGTTAGCCCTTAAGTTGAATAGATACCGTTCCACAGATGAACTCCTTTTACTGATACACACCTGCTCTAAGTATTACTCTAAAATATACTCTAAAAATGAAAGCAAATACAGAAATAAAATCCACACCATGACAGGATCAGTGGCTCCTATGTGTTTGTCGTCTCTTGGGCGGTTCCGGCTCCATTGTGATAAGTTGCATTTATTTTCAATAGGAGCACACTTTACCAGGCACCCGCACAGCCATGCCACCTCCTGTCGCCACTTTCACCTGGGCGCCCCGCAGGCCCCTCTCTCAGCCGAGTTCCCTCTAGGGCAGAGTCAGGTCCCACAGACGGGCCTGGCCCCTCACCTGCCCCCCACACACCCCCTCCCAGCGGGCCCTCAGTTCCACGATGTGTCGGGGGCCTCTTTTCTACCTCAAGCTTTACACCAGCAATACCTCCTCCAACAGCAGCTCCTGGAGGCTCAGCGGCGGCGGATCCTCCCTCACTCCAGGTGGGTGCCAGACCGGCTCAGGACCAAGCAGTGTCTGGAAACTAGTGCTACAGACGCTGTGTTAGGGTTTTTGTTTTTCGTTTTTTCAAGATAAAAAAAAACATTATTACCCATTATTATAATCATTATTAGTGTTAGTGCATGGTTTTTATTAAATCATTTTTATTGAATATTGATCTAAAAAACAAATAACTTCTTCCATTATTGTCTTATCACAGCAGATATATAAATAGTCGGATGTTCCAAATCTATTAATTATGATCTAACCAGGTCAATTGAGAGTTTGAACCGAGCTCAGGACAAAATATAAATTGGTTATAAAAGCTGATTCAATATTTATGTTGTAAATATGTAGGAAAATAAATAACATAAGTGCTTGTGTTTTGGAAGAAAGTGAGTCAAAGCAAAGGAGGCAAACTGATAATGTTGAGACACTGAAAAAGGTGTTACACAGTTTTTTGTGTAAACTTTTTCATGATGTGCTAAAAAACAAACTAAACTAAATGTCTGTCACAAACACATTTCAATGCTGCAGCTACAAAGTCCTTCTTACAGTTGTTTATTGTTCATTGGAATCCCCATTAGCTTCCACCCATGTACAGTAGTTGCTAATTTTCCTTGGGTCCCAGTAAAGTGGAATGAAAAAGAATGAAAAACTAATCAAATAAAACAATACATTAATTCATTCATTGCCATAATATTAAAGGCAGATCCAATGCAGTATCAAGTGTTTCTTTTGTGTATATAACATTTATAATTTTGTATTATGTAAATGTATCTCACGGTTATTTATACACACTTTTGTTTCTTGTACACTTATTTGCTCGAAATAAACAAACTTTGAAGTCAACACAAGTAAACCACACTGAGGGAAAAACAGACATGAAGACATACTTTAATGATGCATTGCACTTATGAGCTTTGAGATTTCTTTTTAAAACATACAAAGAAGTTTGATCCTCCATCTCCCTAAGCAGCCTATTCCAAAGCTGAGCTGCTCTGAAAATAACAGTTGTGTCTAGAATCAGAAAACACAATCGGTACAATGTATGGTACCAATCCCCTGCATGTGATTCATCCAAATGAAGCTGTATCATATGAGTGCTCGAAACACAAAAACAAAAATAGAATAATCTACATCAGGATATTAAATCCATCTGTGTTCCTTCTGATCTGGTGGCTTTGAAATGAGAATTTGATTAAGGAAAGAGAGCGGCAACTCTTAAAGTAGCAATATGTAAGATTTGCATTTCAAGTCATCATTAAATGGTCCCAATATGTCAAGGTCTAATTTTGGCAGCTTATCTGGCAACCTGAGTCAGGGAGAGTGGGTCACTGAATAATGACCTGATTTGACTTTCACTTTGATTTGACTATAACTGCTTATTACTATTTCCACTGCACAGAAGAAATCAGGAACGCATTTCCGTGAATCCGCACCGACTCCGCGCAGGCTTCGAGTTCTCCCCTCCGCTCCATGTGTCGCCGCCGGTCCCTCAGCAGCAGCAGCAGCAGCAGCAGCAGCGGTATCTGGCAGAGGGCACTGACTGGTGAGAAGCTTCTTTCACACATCCCTATCCAAACCATCACCAATGCATTTGTGATAACGTGTGTGTGTGTGTGTGTGTGTGTGTTTCTCAGGGACCTCAGTGTAGATGCAGGGGCCCCTCACCCCCAGTACCCCCTGCAGCAGATGCCCCAGCCCTTTCAGCACTACCTGGCCTCTCCACGGCTGCACCACTATCCCAGGCACGCTTCTTCCGCACAAGTGGTATGTTCCCTCGGCTTGGTAGTGGTTTATTTTATATTTCAGGCCTTTGAGCCTGAAGGTTGTGGGTTCGAGCCCAACACAAGACTTTCTCCACTGACTCCCACTGATGTCAGCTGTTGTTGTGTCCTTGGCAAGAAACTTCACCCAAATCTGAAGTCACGAAGACATTATTATAATGTAAACACCGGGATCACAGAGAGCACTGAACCACAAAATCTTTAAGCCAAAAATGTTTTCTACACTAACCCCAATCTAACCCTAACCTATTTGATCTTTACAATTATTCTCTTTTATGTTTAGGTGGTTCATGAAATCAGAAACTACCCATATCCACAGCTGCATCTGTTAGCGCTTCAGAGTCTCAATCCTTCACGACACGTCACTGCGGTTCGGGAAAGTTATGAGGTAATTTCCATCTAGAACTTTGAACACACACACACACAGACACGCACACACAGACACGCACGTTTGTCCACCTCCCACACACACAGACACACATACACTCACAGACACGCACATACAGACACGCACGTTTGTCCACCTCCTGCAAACACAGACACACGCACACTCTCACAGTTGCACACACACGCACACACCCACACAAAGACATGCACACACACACAAACACACATGACCACCTCCTGCAAATACAAATACACACACACACACACTCTCCACTCTCACATACACACATAGGACCACCTCCTGCAAACACACAGACACACACACACAGACATAGACACACACACACACAGACATAGACGCACAAACGCACAGACAGACAAACACACACGCACGCTCACACAGACATAGATGAACAAACACACAGACAGACAAACACACACGCACGCACACACAGACATAGATGAACAAACACACAGACAAACACACACACACACAGACATAGATGAACAAACACACACGCATGCACACACATACATATGACTACCTCCTGCAAACACACACACACACACAGACACACATACACACAGACACACACACCCACAGACACCCACCCACCTCCTGACCCTTGCGGTCCCCTCTCTCTGGTCTGCAGGAGCTGCTGCAGCTGGAGGACAGACTGGGGGCTGTGAGCAGAGGAGCCATCCAGACGACCATCGAGAGGTTCACTATTCCGCACAAGTACAAGAAGGTAAAGTTGCCGATGTCTCGACCTCAGAGACCAGAGCGTTGTCTAATCATCCTGTACTTCTCACAAACTCACAGAGAAAACCAATGCAGCTGAAGATCGACGAAGAGGAGATGGACGTGGACGAGAAATGCACCATCTGTTTGTCTTTGCTGGAGGATGGAGAGGACGTCCGGTAAGAAACTGAAACCACGACAGCAGGGCGGTCAAAACCAGTCCATAACCCTTTTTTATTTTCTTTATTTAAGATGTAGGAGCACTAGCAACACAAATAATAATTTTTCATTTTGTTTTGATTAAAGACCTTTAGCAAATGGTTGTTATGCAGTTAGATGGTAAAAGCGCCTAAAACCAAGTTAGGTGTCAGCTCCACGCATGCTTAAAGTAGATATTGATTCAAAAAGGTGATCTACCAAATGGTTGAGGAAACTAGGGGTAAAGGGCCGGTGTGGCTACAGGTTTTCACTCCAACCTGTCACTCCCGTATTCGTCCCGGAAACCGGATTCGTCCGGAAGTTCAGTTTGATCCAATGAGCATACGCAGCAGTAGATTACGTCACGGAATCTGGACGGAAGCGGAAGTAAATATAAAAAACTACCTATTCATGCCTAAACTTAACCAGCCATTCCCATAAAATAACCCCAACCCAGCCTTAACCCTAAACTTAACCATCTTAATCAGACGCCTAAACTTAACCAGTCAGCACTTAAGGACATATTAAACTTTTTGACATGCGCAAACTGAACTTCCGGACGAATCCGGTTTCCGGGACGAATCCGGTTTCCGGGACGAATCCGGGAGTGACACAACCAAGCAGGAGCAGACCAGACTCCGCCCATTTCCTCAAGTGAGTCCAATGCCCTGAGGCTTGAGGAAATGGGCGGAGTTGAATCAAGTTTTCTTTTGTTCATATGTAAACAAGATTTATAAATGAGTAAGAAGGTCCTGGGTTTGCTTCCACGTCCATGCCTTTCCGTGTGGAGTTTGCATGTTCTACCCGTGTCTGTTTAGGTTTCCTCCTGGTGCTCCGGTTTCCTCTACTACTAAAAACCTGTACTATTGGTGATGGTTGAATGTGTGTGTGTTTGTGAGTGTGACTGTGGGACTACAGATGGAAATTAACAACAAAAAGCAAGAATCTGGTGTATTTACGGTTACTGCAGTTCAGAAATACGCACAGAAGTTTTCTTAGACTTGTGAGAAAACTTTAATCACATGGTGCTTGTAAACGTAAGTAAGTGAGTCGTCGGACCAGATTACTTTCTTCACACACCAGAATGAGTCCAAAAAAGCATTGCATAAAACCGATGCATTTTTATATTTAAAATTATTATTCATCTTTATCTATTTTATTTATAGCGCCTTTTCCAGACAGAGTCACAAAGCGCTAAACATTCATTGTGGGCATTTGTCTTCTCACTCCACATAGAGATGGAAGCAGGGTCACTACACATGCCAAACCTATATATGTTTTTAGCGATGGGGGAAACCGGAGCACCTGGAGGAAACCTAAGCAGACACGAGGAGAACATGCAAATTGAAAAAATGCACTCTAACCGCTTCTCTCCTTTGCCCTCTGTTATAGGAGACTTCCCTGCATGCACCTCTTCCACCAGGGCTGCGTGGATCAGTGGTTGGCCACCAGCAGGAAGTGCCCCATCTGTCGCGTCGACATCGAAACACAGCTGAACGCCGACAGCTGATAGACGCAGACGCCGCCTCCTCTTCGTCATCACCTCGCGTGCTCGTCACTTTCTTCTGCCCCCGTGCGGGAACTTTCGCCAAATGTCACCAGACTGTTTTATGACATCACTCTTTTCTGACGTTAATCTGAGCCAAACCGACACACTAACTGCATGAGAGGCCAGCGGGGTTCTCTCCTCTACACTGCAAAAAATGATAAACTGTGAGGTCAAAATTGCTCGAATCTAGTGTTTTTTTATCTTAATTTGAGTAGATGTCTTAAAACAAGATTCGCCAATGGGACAAAGCCATTTATCTTTAGTTCAAGAACTTTATTTTCTCATTCCATGGGAGACATTTCTTGTATCTTTTTAAAACAAGATAATTTTGCTTGTTACCAAAAAAAAAAAAATCCAAAATGGTTGGTGCACACTGGGGTGGTCTTGCACAGTTTTTCCAATGTGGTTTTACTGCAAATGGCTGATAAACTCTCAAATCTTGAATACATTCTTGAATCTCGAATACATTCTTGAATCTCGAATACATTCTTGAATCTTGGCAAATCTTGTTTTAAGGCAAGGTCAACCAAGACAAATTTTTTTGCCAACTTTGAGTAATTTTCAACTTATTTTTCCTCACTTTTTGCAGTGTATTTATAAATAAGCACATCTCTTTTGGAAGCAGACTCTCTTGCTCTTGTTTACAGGGCTTTTTCCAGCTTGTTTGGTTAAAACTGTTGTTGCTGTTGTGACGTCGTTCCGTACGTGGCCCTGGGCTGTGTGTAGCATGTCTTTAAAGCCATGACTTTGTGTCTCCCCGAGTGGTTATTAGTACATAACCCCACACTACAAAAGCTGATGAGTTTTCTCTCTCTCTTTCTCTATAAATATATTTCCATTTTAGACTGTGAGTCATCTGCCATACAGGAACGTTTATAAGCTCATTTGTCAGATGCTGTTTACCTAATTCACACTCGTTGTCGTGGTAGAAGTCGCTGTAATCGATGAGTAAAGTCTGGTGCGATGGGAAAAGCACAGTTTTAGTGTGAAGCAGCTTTTGGGCATTTGTAAAAAAAAAAAAGCTGAAATATTTGAAACCCCAAAAAAATAGTGTATACTTCCCATATATGGTGATGGTGGGGACTGTTAATACTGCTTTTTTATTTATTTAAATCAAGCCTATAGTGAGCTTTGCATGGGCTAATCTCGAGCTCTGAAAGATCAAATCAATTCCTGTAGCATATAAGCTGATTTGATGGCAGTGTTAGAGGAAACATTTTTAGTATTTTACTAAATTCATACGAAACAAGCACATACCGCGTCAAGGGTCCGTTACTTCAGTGTTGAATTTGAATGGATGACTTTGGGCCTTGCCGTGTTTTTAAGTAGTATTTTCATGTTCTCTATCATGTATTTGTTTGGTGCATTCATATGACAGACCTGCCCTTGTGGTTGCTATGCTGGTTGCTATGCTGTTTAGGGCTCTAGACTGCTGTGATGCCCCAAAACAAACTAACCCACGTTGTTTAACCCCTTACTACATCAAAATGGCAGGACAGATGCAACTGGATTTTGCTATAATTTGAATTTTTTGGTCCGAAATTTTACATAATATAACCATAAGTCGTGTATTAGGAGTGGACTGACCAAATGCTAACGTGTCCATAGTGTTAGCCACATGCAGAAGTGGCCGATTTTAACATAAGCTAGCTGGAGCCAATTTCCTTAAATGGGCCATTGTTCCGACGACGTAAGTGTTGTGCCGTAACCCGGGCAGACGTTGTTTCTATGGCAAAATAGAGTTTCCCCCCCGAATGAAGCCACCTGATTGGTCAAACCTTATGGCTCATATCTTTATTTACTAAAACAAAATTAGGATCATAGAGAACGGTAAAACACAGATTGTTCAATGGGCGGCACGGTGGCTGAGTGGATAGCATTCTCGCCTCTCAGCAAGAAGGTCCTGGGTTCGAATCCCGGTTGGACCAGGGCCTTTCTGAGTAGAGTTTGCATGTTCTCCCCGTGTCTGCGTAGGTTTCCTCCGGGTGCTCCGGTTTACTCCTACCACTAAAAATATGTACAATAGGTCTGTCATGTGCCTCCTGTACTGGCACCCCCACTCCCAAAAATCACAATTGTAAACCGCTTTGAGACTCCGATGTGCAGTGAAAAGGCGGTATATAAATAAAGATTACTTACTTACTACTACTACTACTACAATGTAAGTCAATAGGAGCTAGAACGAGTTGGAGCAAAACTTGTCCATCTTTAAACAGTCTATGAACATAACCATCAAACTCCTGGAAGTGTGAAATTAGAGATAAAGTTGTGTCTTCTTTTTTTAGAGTCAAATAAACCAGGACCACTCACAGACATGACCCAAAAATTAGTCAAAAAGTTAGTATAGACTTTACATGAGTTTCCACCTTGAGATTTGTGATTTAAAACCAGTCGTCAAATCTCATTTCCAGTGAAACAAAGAAATACTGTTCAAACCCAAAATGCTGTCATTCTCAAGTCAAAAATCTCCCATCCCAGACACCACCAGCTAAAAATAGACTGTTACCACTTGTAATTAGAGTGAATCAGAGGCCAAAACTGTAGCATCTCAGCATCACAAAGAGTCCAGCTTTTGGTCACTGCTCCTAAATACTCTCCGGTGAATCCAGCAAATATTCTTCCCGACATTTCGATGGCGTTTATATGTGTAGTAAGGGGTCGAGCCTTTCCTCCGTCATGTCCGCCTGTGTTTCCCGGGGCCCTCCACCCGATGCACTGTGATAGAAAATTGTGTCTGTAATCGCTTTTACGTTCATCGGAAAGCTCTCGCTCCTGGTCTTGTGCACTACCAGTGTCGACGCCGCCTCCTCGGACGCGGAGTGTTAAAGTTTACACAGGGTGTTGTTGAGATGCCTTAAATATTTAACAATCATAACTTAACTGTAGATATGATAAGGTATGTAATGTAATGTATTTATTTGGAATTTCTGAGCAAGTGATATTTATTTTACAGATAACATACAGTAAATGCTTTTCAAAAAATAATGATTACCTCACTTTTGCATCGTTTTAAATGGGAATGTTTAGCATGCGGTGGTAGAGACGCTGGCTTGTGTGATGTGGATGTATGCAACATTCCATATATTTATTTTTTTTCCACTGATACCCCCTGCTGTGATGTGCTAGCTAAACCGCAAATGAAGTGACTGCTAATTTTGTTGTAACTTATTATTTTCTTTTTTTCTTGTTGTTATTGCACTAACCGTTCAAATATTGGAAACCCTTCCACTGGGCCACTTCTCTCACCACATTCACCCATTCTTTAAACATTGTCTTTTTGTTATAAATGCACTATGTTTATAGTTCTTAGTGAAATCGAGTTTTACAAGTGCCTCGCTGTACGTGTTTTCCCATGGAATTACAATCAACCTTTGCCTTATTAGTTTCCTGATAAAACTACAATGTAAAAAGCTTATACTGCGTTCGACAGGTTCCAAAAGCCATCGGGAATTCTCAACACGCTCTACTCTCTCTACTGTCTTTCGGAATTCTCGACAACACACTCTACTCTCTCTACTGTCTTTGGGAATTCTCGACAACACACTCTACTCTCTCTACTGTCTTTCGGAATTCTCGACAACACACTCTACTCTCTCTGCTGTCTTTCGGAATTCTCGACAATACACTCTACTCTCTCTGCTGTCTTTCGGAATTCTCGACAATACACTCTACTCTCTCTACTGTCTTTCGGAATTCTCGACAACACACTCTACTCTCTCTACTGTCTTTCGGAATTCTCTACAACACACTCTACTCTCTCTACTGTCTTTCGGAATTCTCGACAACACACTCTACTCTCTCTACTGTCTTTCGGAATTCTCAGCAACACACTCTACTCTCTCTACTGTCTTTCGGAATTCTCGACAACACACTCTACTCTCTCTACTGTCTTTCGGAATTCTCGACAATACACTCTACTCTCTCTACTGTCTTTCGGAATTCTCGACAACACACTCTACTCTCTCTACTGTCTTTCGGAATTCTCGACAACACACTCTACTCTCTCTACTGTCTTTCGGAATTCTCGACAATACACTCTACTCTCTCTACTGTCTTTCGGAATTCTCGACAACACACTCTACTCTCGCTACTGTCTTTCGGAATTCTCAGCAACACACTCTACTGTCTCTACTGTCTTTCGGAATTCTCAGCAACACACTCTACTCTCTCTACTGTCTTTCGGAATTCTCGACAACACACTCTACTCTCTCTACTGTCTTTCGGAATTCTCAGCAACACACTCTACTCTCTCTACTGTCTTTCGGAATTCTCGACAACACACTCTACTCTCTCTACTGTCTTTGGGAATTCTCAACAATACACTCTACTCTCTCTACTGTCTTTCGGAATTCTCGACAACACACTCTACTCTCTCTACTGTCTTTCGGAATTCTCAGCAACACACTCTACTCTCTCTACTGTCTTTCGGAATTCTCGACAACACACTCTACTCTCTCTACTGTCTTTCGGAATTCTCAGCAACACACTCTACTCTCTCTACTGTCTTTGGGAATTCTCGACAACACACTCTACTCTCTCTACTGTCTTTGGGAATTCTCAACAACACACTCTACTCTCTCTACTGTCTTTGGGAATTCTCGACAACACACTCTGCTCTCTCTACTGTCTTTCGGAATTCTCAGCAACACACTCTACTCTCTCTACTGTCTTTCGGAATTCTCAGCAACACACTCTACTCTCTCTACTGTCTTTCGGAATTCTCGACAACACACTCTACTCTCTCTACTGTCTTTCGGAATTCTCGACAACACACTCTACTCTCTCTACTGTCTTTCGGAATTCTCAGCAACACACTCTACTCTCTCTACTGTCTTTCGGAATTCTCAGCAACACACTATACTCTCTCTACTGTCTTTCGGAATTCTCGACAATACACTCTACTCTCTCTACTGTCTTTCGGAATTCTCGACAACACACTCTACTCTCTCTACTGTCTTTCG